TAATTTAATTGAAAATAATAAATTAAAAATTATGGCCTAACAAATTAAAAAAATTTATTGTTGTTAAATTATAAATTATAGATTACAAATTTAAAATAATATATTAAATAAAAATTATAAATTACAAGGATAAAATAGTCTTTTGAACATTTATTCTTATCCTGTCAGTCCAACCAAATATTAGATTTACTAAAAATAGTCTAATTCAGACATCTAATTCCATGACTAAACAAACATAGGATACAAATCCAGTCTAATCAAATAATCCGGAAACAATATATCTCAGAATTAACAGTTCGATAGATTACAATCTCCTTTATCCAGTCTGTCCAAACAAACATGTTCTAATTGGTTTAGATGGCTCAGTCCTCTCATGCAATTGGAGACCATTCAAGTCCTTGAAATAAATGACCAAGAAACTTCAATTGAAATCCATTGAACAAGATGGTCAAATGATCAAATAGAGCTTATAAATTAAAAAATTATTAAGCTTTAAGTAATATTTTATAGTATTTATCAATTAACTATTTTCATGTTCCCTCTTAAATCAGCTTATTTTTCTGTTTTGTTACTCTCTCCAAACTCAAGTTGGCTAGTACCTATCCTCCTTGAGTTTGAGGGGGGCTGTTAATGTAAAATGTAAATTGTAAAATGTAAACTACCACCCACCTACCACCTCCACTACCACTCACTCCACCTACCACCTCCACTACCACCTACACCTACTACCATCTTCTCCTCTCTATATATAGGAATTGTAATATACAGACAATCAATCAATAATAACATAGATACATTATTCTCTGTATTTCTCTCTTTACACATTAGAATTAACACTTTAACCCTCCTTTACTACACTCATTTTTAAAATCGGCAAAGATAAAGAATGCTTTTAGCTATACTACTAGACTCTCATAGAGCCAACCATTACCAATCTCTTCAGCTTGAACAGATATCGTGGTGGTATCTCTTTTTAACCCGCGTACAGCATTCGCATAAGAGTTCTGACCTTTACCCCCCCTCTATTGTTTTCCATTGCACCCTCTGTTTGATGGCACTATTACTCTCCTTTCTTGACTCCTGCATCTTCATATTCTGAGCTTTACTTCCGTATGCAGCTATCCGTACCTTCAGTTCCTTATCATCACACCACGACCCTTCAGTTTTTTGAACTGCCATACTTGCTGCAACCTGACAATCATATCTAACAAACCCAAATCTTGTTCCCAAAACTTTCCTTCTTTTCTTCGGAATAAACACATCCTTCACCACTCCATAGTTGCTAAAGAGATTGAACAAACCTCTTGGTTCCATTGATTCTGGTAAGTTGTCCACAAAAACAGTGAAAATTCCTGGTCCCCTTAAACTAGCTTGCTGATAACCCACTGGTCTTCTCCGAATCCTTGGTTTCCACCCTCCTCCTTCCATTTCTCCTTGATTATTTTGAACTAGTTGCGCAAGGAAAAAAATATAGTTAACTCTACACTTTTGATATAATTATATTGATATCTATTTTGTAACACAAAATCAACTAAAATTAATGCAGATAGTAGGTGAATATTGAAATAAATAAAGATAATTATACATTTTTAATAGTTAAGAGATAACAACATCATTTTTTTCTTACATACAACTAATGAATTCTTGATGAAAAATGACTTGATTGTTATGTAAATTAAAACGTTAGGAGATAACAGTGTAATTATGCTAAAAGTGTGCAGCTAATTACATTTTTTCCAAACCTTAGAAGAGTGTGACTGTAATTAACCCATTATAACTCTCACAAATTTTTATTAGAGGTGTAATCAAATAGCTTCCTACAGTTCTAGAAAAATTAAAACCATAATTGAACCATTAAAATTATGTAACCTTACCCAAACAAAATCACATAAATTGATTTGGTTTGGTTCGATTCGGCTTTACAGTTCTAGGAATTTTATATAGCAAGAAATATTATACATATTTTAAAATAATAAAAACAACAAATTTAGTTAAATTGGTTATGTAAGCTGTTCAAAATCATCATACTTGTGTCATTTGAATGTAAAGAAATCGAAAATCTATAAATACATAAAACAATACATAGCATAGAGAGGAAAATAAATATGTGAAGTTAAAAAGACAAATGAAAAAATGTATTTACATTGTGAGTCCAACTTGAGTCACACCTTTTTTTACAATTTTTTTTACCATCTATTAATAATGGGAATAAATTTCATATCATCACAGGTTATGGGACCCATTTTTATTGTGAGTAGACGGTAAAAAATATTATAAAAATGTGTGTGATTCTAATCTTATACAAAATGATTGCAAAAATTTTATTTATAATAGAATTATAATATATAAACAGAAAATTCACACAAAATGATGTGATTCAATAAAATCTATTTATTTGAAAATAATATATTTATAAAAATGAATTTATTTATCATAATAACATTATCATATTATTTTTGTTATTTTTTTTATAAAGGTTTTATATATGACTAAAAAAATTGTCGATGATAAGTTACAAAAATTTGTCAAATGGAGGATAATGGCCCATCACGTTGAGTGATTATTTGATAGTTTTGTAATATTGTAGTGTATTACTTTATTTTTATTTTATTTTATTTTTCGTTAGTGAGTGGAGGGTTCGGCCCCCATCACAAATAGGGCACTTCACTCAACAAATACGCTTGTCTGGAGCTTCCTTTGTCATTTGCCAATTTGTCCTCTAAAATTATAACAAAAAGTTCTTACTGCCCCAAGTTTAACTACTATGGTCAAGTTTGGTATACACAAAATAATTTATTTTTTTATCTGTTTTTATCACATTACTTATCTATTTTTCTGTACATCTTTTCGTAAAAAGACAAAAATTACACTTATTTAGATCATCCCAAACAACGCCTAAATGTAAGAGTTGAATTTTTCTCATATTCAAATCTCAGCATGGGAGAATTTTAGGAGTCTATGGACCTTACCATGGGTCTTATTTTAATGATTCGAACTGTTCATTTTATAATATTCTAAATGTATATCATTAATGAAAAAATTAAATCAATTCGATAATTATAACTTTTTTTATTTTGTCTTGTTTGTCTCTAAAAACAAAAATGGTCTATTTTTAAAATTTTATTTATCGTTCATTTTTTTTTTGCAAATAAGTGCAATAAAATAAAAATATTACGATTATTAAAACAAATTAATTTCCTGTACAGATGAGATACATTAAAAATCTTATATAATAACCATTCAAAATATCAAAACAAAAAACCTCTCAAATGCTATAATATTAAAACTTGAATATGAAAAATTCAACCCTCGTGGAACACAACCATCACAAAATCTTTCCCATCACATCACCATGATGATCACACGATACTTTTAAAATAATAACCATTCAAAATATCAAAACAAAAAACCTCTCAAATGCTATAATATTAAAACTTGAATATGAGAACGGATAATGTTTCGTAACTCGAAACTATCTCCCGAATTCCTCTAATGTCTAAAACGACGTCGTTTGAGCATTTTACTTTTTTTTTTTTCTTCTTCTTCTTCCATTTCAGGTCTGAAACGCAGAGGAAGAGGGAGAGGGAGAGAGAGAGAGAAGAGAGGGGAAGAGGAGGAGTCGCAGTCCGGCCGCAGCTCGTCGTAGCCCCGCCACAGCTCCTCGCAGTCCAGCCGCAGCTCGTCGCAGCAGCAGCAGCTCGCCTCCGGCCCCCTCCAGTCCTCCTCCTCCTCTTCCCTTCTCTTCTCTTCTCCTTCTTTGCTTCTGAAAACAAAAAAAAAAAAGAAATTAGGGAGATTCAGGGGAGGCTTTCAAGCTCCCTAGCATCACCCTATGAGAAATTCAACCCTCGTGGAACTCAACCATCACATAATCTTTCCCATCACATCACCATGATCCTCACACGATACTTTTAAGGAAAATGAGTGAGAGTATTAATTAGTGCTATCATTAATGATGTGGCAGTAGGTCCCATCATGAATGATTTGATGTTTTGACCTTGGTGTTGTAGTTTTTTTCTTTTTTTATTGAGTGTCATGTCATTAGTGGTCTTTTTAGAGCTCCAAAATTAGTGGTCTCTATCATTGTTGTACTTTTAATATATAAACTTGGAAAATAAAGCTAATGTAAATCTTGTTGGGATATTTTAACGAAAATAAAATAGTATTTATGATTACATGATTTTATTATTTAATTGTTACAAAATTTATAATTTTATATGTTTTAAGTTGCAAAATTTATATTTGTCATTACAATCATATTATGAAGATTTATTTGAAGATAATTATGATATTAAGGTCTCGTATGGAAACAGGTTTTTTTAGTAACTTTTTAATTTTTTGGCTAAAATGTGATGTAAAAAAAAAATTAGTATGTTTAGGATGACTTTTTGGCTATTTACGAAAAGTTGTACAAAAAGTAGAGAGAAAAGGAAATCTTTGATTTTTTAGTATGTGTTGTTAACTTTTTGATTTTTTTAGTAACTTTTTGACTTTTTGACTAAAATGAACACTTGCCAAACGAGGCCTAAATATGAGCTTAATTGAGTGTTAATTATATCTATACCTATTCTTCTATATAAATATATATAATTTGCCATATCTATGAGGGAATATAGGTTTTGAGAATACAAAAGTAGAAAAGGAGCAAAAAATGTAATTTAAAAAATGAGAAGTTTTGCAGAGAGTTCTTTATATTCTATATTGATATTTTGGACAATTTTGATTTGTGACATGGTTGAAGCCTCATGTGATCATAAACATTGGAGGGATGTCGTGAGTAATATGAATTTTATTTTGGAACTATTTTACTCTAATTGTACCTTCATGAGAGGAGGCAAAAGCAGGTTTAGGACAGTGACAACATGACTCTCAAAATCTCAAACTTATAGGATGTGTTTGGTCTGTGTTTTAAAACATGTTTTTGGAAGTAAATTTTCAAAAACATGTTTGATTACAAAATTTTTCCAAAAAAATTTCAAAATTACTTCTATCTCTATTACATATCAATTTATCACTTTTTCTCTCTTCTCTCTCATTTTCAATCATTTTTTCTTTCACACACACATATCTACTCAACTACAACAAAGAAAAATGTTTCAGACCACTAATTCAACACCACTAATACACCACTAATGACGTGGCATTATGTGAACCCCACCACTAATGTGATAGTTTGGCCTTTATTTATTTTTATTTTTTTTGCACTGCCACGTAAGTAAGCTGCTTTTAGAGGTTGTGTATTAGTGGTCTGAATCGGAACTCCTACATCAAAATATCAAATCATCTCAAACAAACCAAAAAAATTAAACTCTCTGCCCCAATTTTTATTTTTTTTTTGAAAATTTATCTCAAAACACAAACCAAACATACCCATATTTTCTTACTCTTGTTTTTGTCTAGATAAATTATTTTTTATAGTCATTATTATTATAATAATTGTGCTAAATATTCTATTAATATTATTGCTATAGATTAACACATCCATGATCACATGATCCACGATACTCTTATTTGTAAAATAAAAAGAAGATAAATAAACCATCACACGATATCTACTAGACTCCAAGACTTTTATGTTCATCTTAAAATATAAACTTAAAAATATATATAAATAGAAAGAAATAAAATGGACCAACAATACCATAATCTAGAGACGTCAAGACT